TTTTTCAGTGATAAGGCCAGTGGGATTATTGTGGGTTTGGGCGTGCAGGGGTATAGGGTTGCGGTTGAATATGTGGCGAGGAATTGGGCACCGTTGAAGAAGGAGGGGGGAAGGTTGTGATTTTATAGAGATTCTATCTTTTCATCTTCTACTTTTTTTTTTGAGAAATGAGGGTGTGGTGGAGGAAAAGCTTGTTATGTATGGTATGATATGGGTATACTATCGGTGCAATATGCATATATGTACAGTTCAGGTCGTCGTCACTCATCGTGGCTTTGCTAAGAAGCCAGCATTCTCTTTTCTTCTACCACTCCTTGGGATGGGTCACTTCGTCAGGTGAAGTGATACTGGGCCGTATATCATATCTACAATGACTATATCCTCTCTTTCGGTGCTGTTTGAAGAGAGAGGTAGAGCGGAATATGGATCGGTGGTTGCAGCCTGTCTGCCGTCGGAAGTTAATATCAAGGATTTAATGGATAGCACTCAGTACATACCTTACTGCAGTCAACCGAAACTAGGCCGGTGGGTTAGAGATGAACAGCAGCAGTCAATTGTCTAACTGCTCATCTCTTTCCCTCTGCTTGCGACCCCCGTCGGACCCCGCCCACCTCGCATGGTACCTGCTGCTGCGTCTGCGCCAGAAGGAACGGCTCCACTTGGCTCGAGTACGAGTACAGCTCCGGCACCCCCGCCTCGGGCACAAACCCGAGGTTCTGCATAAACTCCGGCTGATTGTCCGTCCTGCAGCTGTTAGTAAAGATTGATTTGCAAATTGTGATAAACTCACTTTTCAGTCCCATCCAGCGACGCCAGTTCGTCAAACAACGCGTCCAAGTCCGGTGCAATCCGCGGTCGTCGCGGCGGCCCGTATCCGTCAATGTCGACAAATGATCCCAAATTGAGACTGGTATCACCGTATGGAGGTGGGTACTGTGGTGCAGTGGTGTGGAAAGGCGAGGTCAGGTCCGGCATCAGTGGTGTGCCTGTACCGTTGATTGGTTTCGTAGAGGAGATGGAGGAGCGAGGATGGTGAGACAAATGGTTAGGAGGAACAGATTCTTTGAGTTGAGAGGAAGGGTGGGCGGTCTCGCCGCCTTGGTTGATATTCAGTGACGGGGCAGGAGTGGGGATAGATAGTGCCACATTGTCATCGACCGTGGGTGTTCGCATCCACCCGTTCGAAAAGAAGGCATCAGGTGTGGCTATGTTGGTCCGGTTGTCTTCCAGCATGCTCACTCGTCGTGACGGCTCGCCCGCGCCCAGCGGAGCCTGAGCGAAAGCGTGAAGCGGACCCGTATCCCGGTTGGATAGGCTTCTCGGTCGGGCGGGTGCAGGTGTTATCGATGCGGGCAGGTCCGGAGTCTTCTCCGGTAAGGTCGTGTCAGGCCTGTCCTTGATATGCCAGACGGTCGCCAAATGTGCAGCAAAAGATTGAAGTTTACTTTTGAGGCCGGGGTCCAGTTCAAAGGGCAGCGGTGCCGCTCGTTCTCCGGCCGGTGACAGACCACTTGTGAGAACCAGACCAAACGTAGGACAAGTGGCAGAAAGACTGTAGTTCTCCATGTATGTCTGAAGTAACTGGAGCAACCGTTTCGAGCTCTCCGTGGCACGCTTCTTCAGCGGCATCTCGGACATGTTGCGGTCGCTCCGCTGCAACGCAAATTGCAGGCTCAGGTTCGTAGCGACGCTCTCGTACATCATCTCCAGCCCAAATATGTGTGGGGAAGCCACCTTGATCGGTGTCGTCTGCAGATCAACGCGATAGCTCTTTGGGAGCGCCGACACCCAGAGTTGGAGTTGTCGCTCCAGCGCCTCCAAGTGTGCGATGGGGCCGGTTGTCGTCTGTTTCAAACAGCACAAGTCGTTCAGAATACACATCAGCGAAGTGAGTCGGTTGAATGTGCTCAAGGCGTGGAGAGGTCCGCGGTGGAATGAAGCGCGCGACGGCTCGACTGGGCGCAGTCCCGTCTGGTCCTCCCACGGGTGCCACTCCTCCAACCCGTCTTCGTTAATCGGACCAATCTTGATGAGCTCTGCCTTGCGCAGCGACGGCACCTGTCCCGTCTGCATCGCAACCAATGTCTCCAAGATGAAACAGCCCAGGAAAATGTGCTTAGACCGTGGTGCACTTTTACCTTCCTCCGCGCTCTTCGACTGCCCCGTGGATTGATTCAACCCAAGGCTCTGAGCAATGCGAACAGCCTGTCCGACTAGTAGCCATGCTGCTGACCAGTCCTGCTGGCCTAGCTTTACCAGTGACAGAATCAGCAATGCCTGCACGTGACCGAGCTCGTGGTTCCCGTTTTCCTCGGGTATGAGGCGTCTAGCCGTGGCGTACAGCTGCGCTGGATCAGGACGATCACCAGCAAAATCGTTCAGTTGTCGCGTGGTGGAAATCGAGGCCTCCTGGATGGAGGCCAGCGTTAGGACCGCCCACAGCGCGGCGTAATCGCCAGAACCTGGAGAGGTGGCGGAGATTTGAGCGTCGTCTTCATTATGACGGAACGCTGTTCGTAAAATATCGTGTTTTTCAAGGATAGGAAACCAGCATTGTGTGTAGGAGAAGTAGATGTCTAACAAGGGCCAGGCGTTCGAGGGGAGTTGGGGGATAGGAATGGGAAGCGAGGCCTGGTCGGGCGGGCGCTGCGCCAACCTACCCAGCGACAGGCTCGATGCATCCTCCCCTAAATCGTTGGTTGTAGCCGTTTGAGTCGCAGAGTCCCGCGTAATCCGCACTCCGGAGGCCTTAGCTGTCGATACCGCGGACGGGGTCTTGATAGGAGACACCACCGCCAACGACCCTTCTCGCCCTTCTCCCAACACGTCTGGAAGATTCCACTCCAGCGCTTCCGCTGACAAGACGCTGCTTCCTTCAGCATCTTGCGGAGAATCACTCTCGCCCGGTAAACGACCTGCTTGGTCCTCTTCGGGTTGTTCCAAAAACGTCAACAGTCGCTCGATCTCTCTCAGGACGATGCTGTTTTTCCACGACGACAACAAGGTATCGGATCCCTCTGCCTCCTTGCCCATCGTCGCCAGATGGCTGGGAATATTGGCCGCCTTCAACAAGGCGCGCACCACCTCCTCACTGCCTTGAATCTTATTGAAGACCAGTCCCCATAGTAACTCGAGGGTGCGAATATAGCCGGTCGGAAGGCCTCGTTTTTTAGGGTTGGCCTTGTAGGTACAGGGCCGCGAGAGCGAGGCGCAAGTCGAGCACACGGGCTGCACGCCATCGCATTTGTCCTTTTTGGAGCGACAGCTGTCGCAAGCCCGGGAGACACGTTGGCGTTTGGGGTTAGAGGCGAAGTCATCTGCAGCAGGACTATGCTTGCTATTTTCCTCGACGTCAGTCAATCGCCGCTTTGACTTGCTACCAGGCCCGGAGGCTTGGCGCGTGTCGTTGTTCATGATCGTCTATCCAACGGTCCACTAGATGGTAATTCCGGACGCATGTTCATCTTCCAGAGAGGGTGGCCGAAGAGATGAATCCTTTGCCGGCGGCAGGTAGTACCTCATAAATTGGCCCTTGAAGGCCGCCCCACCGCAGGAACAATTAGGCGAGGGCCAGTGAGCGGGCGACTGCGAAACACAAACAGGGAAGGGGGAGGAAACTAAAGTAGTGGCGGTCAGATAGAACAGGGATGATGAAAAGGCAGCTAATAGAGAAGGGGAAGGTAGTAAGGTCAAAGTAAGACAAAAGGACGGACCGATGGGGGGGAAGAATGGAATATGGGAAAAGAGTTAGAGGAGAGCGAGAGGGAGAGATCTAAGAGCGGAGAAAGGAAAAGTTGGCCGGACATGACGGCTGGAGGAAAGTTGGGGAAAAGGCCGGCCCTAACTTCTTACCCGCGGGTGGGAGAGCGTCAGCGCCCGCCCCCATAGGCCACTTTTGCTGCATCGCGATTGGGGAAACTACGGTGTAAAGCTAAGTGCTACTGGTGGTGGAAAGTGTGAAAGGCAAAAAGAGGTCAAAGAGGCCCATCAGAACCCACGGATTGGAAACGCTAAGTGTCCCCGGTGGACAAGATGGAGTAAAGCGCCGGGGATGGGGGGGGATCCATTTGGTAATACGAAATCAGATGTAATCAAATTATGAATCCTTCTTGTGTGTCTGTGTGGATTGTGGATTGTGGATAGTGGGATCATAATGTGGGAGATTTTGGTCCAGTTCGGGAATTAGGAAGTTGTCCGAAGAGCCCGGGGGTGAGAGGGAGCCAAGTGTTAGTAGAACTTGGGGAAGAGAAGGTGTGGAGAGCCATTCAGATTCCAGCATTTTCAGACCCTTTACCTTTCCCCGTCTCCTACTACTATTACTGGTTAACCCAGTCTTGTGTCGCATGGCATATTCCAGCCGCACCCAAAGTGCGTGTGCATTTCAGTATGTAACTAAGAGTACTAGGTCAATTGCTGCCTGGGGATTGAGTTGCCCTCCCCGCGGGGTATCAATGCAAGGACAAGGAACAAGGCACATCCCAGTTAACTAAACTCAGTTGGACTAACTCAAGTCTACTGCAAAGTACTACTACTAAACTTTCCTTAGCAACTTGGTTGTTCGGCCGCCGGAGTCATTCCGGGTCATCCGGACGTGGCGGTAACAAGAGGTACGAAAGGCATACGAAAAATACGGCTCCGCGACGGCAGAGCCTTTGTCCGCAACCACTTTTGGAATTTGGAGAGCCAAAAGTGTATCCACTCGCTCGGCAGTCGTTTCTTCCCCGCGGTTCGATCGCACTTCCGTCTTCCTCCTCACCACTCACTCTTGACTATTCTACTAACAGTAGTTATTCTCCATCTCCACCTTCTCGTCAAACACGCCCAGTCCCTTCCTGGCACTGCAGCCACTCCAGGTTCGTCCCTCCTTGTCCCTTCCCTTCCCACCCCCCCCTACACTACACTACCTCCTTAGCTCATGTCTCCCCACACTCTTGGGTTTTGAGCATTTCCCGCCCTCTTCTTATTACGTCGCTCACACAAGTAGTTGGATTGCTCCTCCGCAGGCTCATCGTGACCTTTTCAAACCAATGCTTACCTTCGAATGCGCCCAGTCGGTCCTGCAGGAACTAATTCTCGGCTCTCGCGTCCTACGCCATGCGTGGGTCTAATAATCGCCCTCTTCTCAGTATTGTGATTTCTCGTGTATAGCCCGAACAAAAATTCCTGTGCACGACATGTCCATCCTCGTGAATCCACCCAAACGCAAGCTAGACGAGCTGGAAGGTCCGGTCGAGCAACAGAACAGCAGGCGCTTGTCGCATCTTCCTTTCACCTCCAATACACCCCATGCAGTAGACCCTACCCCCGGCAACGATGCTCCTCCACGTCCCCGTGTCAATTCCGCTCCTCAGACGGAACACTCAGAGGCGTCGCCATGGTTGAATGCTTCCTTGCGCGAGCTGAATTCCAATCGTCAATCGCCAGTCTCCTTTGAGGGGCCTTTCCAGGCTCAGAGGAAATTCGCTCCCAATGCGTCCATTGTGTTGACCGGAATCCGCGGCACGGGAAAGTCCAGTCTAGCGGTCATTCTGGCGGCCACCTCGGGTAGGCGACTGATCGATGCAGACCGGTATTTTCAGCAGGTGACCGGCCGTACACGCGCTTCTTACAAGAAGGAGTTTGATCTGGTCGAGTATCGTCAGCAGGAAGCCAGGGTGATGGAGTCCATGCTCTCCGAAAATCAAGAGGGCTGCGTCATCGCATGCGGGCCTGGGTCCATGGAGCGCAGCGGGCAGACGTTGTTGAGGGAGTACGCGAAGACTCATCCAGTCATCTACGTCCTCCGAGACCCCGAGAGCATCCAGTCTTATCTGAAAGCGTGGAACACAGACAAAGTTCGTCGTTTCCTGGAACTTTCGGGGCCCATCTATCGCGCATGTTCCAACCTCGAGTTCTTCAATGTCTCTGAGAAAGGCATCGCGGACCACCCACTTCCAAAAGATGGCCACCAGGACTCGCCATTGGAATCTGAGCTTGATCAGCGAGTACAAGCAATCACTCCTTTCCTGACCCTCAAACAACTACAGCGTGATTTTCTTTGTTTCATTGCGTTCGCAACGGGTGACACCACGGACCTCAGCCGTCATAACTCATCGTTCCCTCTATCGATGCAACCAGTCGAATCACGCACCTACACATATGCCGTGACCGTCCCTATTTCATCCATGTTAGAACGTGATCTGGACATCGAGGAGCTAGAGTCGACCTCCGATGCGTTCGAGCTGAAGCTGGATGTCGCCGAACCACCTTCCTCCCATCTCGGTCTGGACTCGAGTTTTGCCGATACCATTAGTCGGGCGGTAGCCAATGTCCGACGGAACACGGTCGTTCCATTAATATACAATGTGGAGAGTAATGTATGTCGTTATGGCTTGAGCGCAGAACACAGAGATCCCTCGCGGCGGTCGGATGCAGAGTACCTCAAATTAGTTCAGCACGGTCTACGATTAGCCCCGGAGTTTGTGACAGTAGACATGTCCTACGACGACAAGGTACTTTCACAGGTCATAGCTTATAAAGGGTCGAGCAAAGTGATCGGGCACTTTGCTGCCGTGCAGCCACCTGCTCGGGGCTGGGATGACGCACAGTATATGGATCTCTACGAGCGAGCCAAAAGGTTAGGATGCGACATGGTCCGGCTGACACAGCCGGCGGTGACGATTGACGACAATTTTGCCGTGCAACGTTTTCGCGACTACATCAAGTCCCTTCCTGCCCCGCAACTGCCTGTCATTGCGTACAATACGGGCCCATTGGGCCGGTTGTCATGCTGCTTCAACCCGACATTGACCCCTGTCACTCACCCGTCAATGGTCGCCGAAACACAATCGAAAGGCTTGCCGTGTATCACCCTCCGTGAGGCACAGGAGGCGCTGTACGCCTCATTCACTTTGGACCCCTTACACTTCTTTGTTTTCGGTGCCAACATCACCTACAGTCTGTCTCCTGCCATGCATAACGCCGCCTATAAGCGATGCGGAATGCCGCATCACTACAAACTTCACCAGTCGTCGTCTCTGCGAGGCCTCAATGAGTTGGTGGAGAACCCCCATTTTGGTGGCACCAGTGTCAGCCTGCCGTTCAAAACAGAAGCCATTCCGCTGCTGCATTCCATGTCTCCACATGCTCGAGCCATTGGCGCCGTGAACACGCTAATCCCTATTCGGAGGCTGGGAGACAAGGCCCTCGACGCCGATAATTCCTCGCTGTACATGGAGAAGAGTCGTGCAGGACCTATCAAGGCCTTGCATGGAGACAATACCGACTGGATCGGAATTGGAAATTGTTTCCGGAGAGGCTTGTCACCCGCAAATGCCATCCGCCCGTCATCTACTGGGCTAGTTATTGGCGCGGGTGGCATGGCCCGCGCAGCCATTTACTCCATGATACACCTGGGAGTGCAGAATATCTTCGTCTACAACCGGACCATAGCGAATGCCGAAAAGCTCGCCTACCACTACAATCGCCAGAACCTCCCTTCGCCAGGCCAGGCCGGGTCAGCGGCACGGCCTCAGGTGCACGTGCTGCGAACTCTACAGGACAGCTGGCCTGCCAACTACAAGCAGCCGACCGTCGTCTGCTCATGTATCCCAACTCACAGCATCGGGGGGCAGCCGGCCCCAAACTTTGAGATGCCAGTGCAGTGGCTCGAAAGCCCAACGGGAGGCGTGGTCGTGGAGGTCAGTTCAAATACCACTGTGTTTACGTCCTTCTTTATGAACGTTACTAACCAATATGTAGCTGGCGTATAAAACGCTCAATACCCCACTGATGAAACAAATTCGAGCACTTTCGCACCGTGGCTGGGTCGCCCTGGACGGTCTAGATGTCCTCCCGGAGCAAGGTTTCGCCCAGTTCGAGTTATTTACAGGTCGCCGGGCGCCGCGGCGGCTCATGCGGACCGTAGTCTTGAAGGAATACGAGGGCGAAGAAGGCCAATACGACGAGCAGGCGATCCAAAGTCGGATTGAGAGTCTAGATGGACAACCTACCTGAAGTGCTCATTGGTCAAGAATATGCCATTAAAAGCCCCAGCTATCTAATATCGCGTAAGAAACGCCACCAGGCTGCCCGCCTCCGGCATGACCGTACCTGGATGGTCCGTCAGTCAGCATGCAGCCACTTCCGCGGGACTTTTTTCCTTTTGGCACGGTGGGAGGCATGTGGACGAGCAATGCTTACTGAACACGAGCATGCACGTACAGGCTAGGCATGGACGCCAGTCGCCGCGGACAATGCAGCAAACGCAGCATTTCCATCTCGCTCTGTCTGTCTGCGCCCATGATATGATATATTTGTTATGACTACAACGTACGTATACAATCAAGAGGATCACGACTATCGTTCCATATACAATCAATGACAAACACGATCAATCGATGAATGCCAAGATTTCTTTCCTTAAAACGAGAATAGTAAGCAAGAGACATGAAATCACTTATTATACTAGTAGAATTCTATGCATTGTAAGACGATATTTAGTAAGCATAATTAAGTGTCGCTGGATTCTATTTCCACTTGGATTCCTCGTACTCTCGATTGGTTACTTTTGCTATTTGCTACAGATCTGCGCATTCTGTTACTATTCCTAGTCGGCTTACTGTGATGTTAGTGCTCAATTCCCTGCTACACAGAGTAATAGAATGTATTACTTTCATTATTGAAGCTTGATACAAAAGCAATTTACTGCTTTGGTCTGGCAGGATACCGAAAGGGGAGAGAAAGGAAGCTTCCATCTTCAGTCTGTAAGCAATCAATACGTGAGATAGATATGGTATTGTTAAGGTTCTGGGCATCTCATCAAGATGCTCATGTAATGCATACTCAATGCAGAATATATTTCAATAGAAAGTTCTTTAGAGAGGGAGGAAGGCTTTTTAGCGCGAGGCTATGATAATTATTAAGTTATTGTAGGCTGCTTAGTAGCTAAACGCTCCAAAACGAACACCTTGGGGCTGTGTGCAGAGTCTCACATAGGCAAGGACGTACCATGCCGATAGTTAAGTATTAAATCCAAACCTAACCCAATTACAACACCAGCCCAACAATACATTAAAGTCCCAAGCAGATATTGTTCATCAATCCAGTCTTACTTCAGCTGCACAAAGTTTCCACACGCCAGGCGCGAGTTATCCGCCGCATGCACGACCAATGAGAGGTTTCCAAAGAAAGCAGGCTCTCCCTCCACATTAGAGAGGAACCAGTCAGTGTACGTGGTAGTAAATTCCTCGTTGTCGGGTGCCCAGATCGGTCCATGCTTGCCGCTGAGGTCGCCGACTTGGCAGGTCTGGGGAGCGTTGATGTCGCAGGGCGTAGCATCGCCGCGGCCGTAAGGGTCCAGATGGGCGCCAGTGCTGTAGCAGTTTCCGTCCTTAGGGACTGGCTTTTGATGGATGTGGTAGACTGATCATTTCAAGAATAGGTCAGTATGGATGTGTAAGTTTGCTATTAACTCAAGGTTTGAGTTTGGGTTCGGATTCGTATGGAAACTCTAAACACAAGCCCCATTTGATGGATCGATATGAAGGAGCGGGAGGAAATGGAAGTAAGCGTACCCAACTGCTGTTCATTATCGGGGATTCCCCAGAAGTGCGCCGAAACAAGGACACCCACGCCGCTAGGCTTAGGCAAGATGGTCACAGACCCGCGGACAGTGGTGTTATCCTTGGGCTGTAGCTGCGCGTAGTAGGTCACATCATCGTTGTCAGTGACGACGGGGGCATTGGTGTTCGCCGCAGCCGTGGCGGAGAGGCACAAAGCGGTTGCGAGGAGGGCGGATTTGAATAGCATCTTTGTTTTCGCGAGCAAGTTTGGATTTCTAAGAATGCGTGAGTGAATTAGTGGGTGAGAGGGTTTGAGCAGGTTTGTGAAGGATTTGCAGGTAGGATATAAGTATATAACTCAATGCAGGAGGAGAACTGTGGTACCTGAATGAAGAAAGAACGACGATCGCGGTCAACAATGGACGAATTCGGCGAGTTGGCAGTCAGTGTCTTTGTTTTTCTGTAACCCCTCTTCCCCCTTGATTCCGGGACCGCTTTATAAGGGACCATGCATTGGCGGTGTAAGGAGACACATTGGTGAGACAATGATCCATTCATTCACCGAGTGTATTGTGAATCGGTGGTTGCATCCCTTGCCATGATCCGGATTTGTTGGTTCCGGATTGGGAGGCAAAGCTGGATGCCTGGGGATTATTGGAATGTCCATGGGGGCTGTCAGAGAAACGGTTTCGGGCAGGTTACACCGGCATTGTTCATGGATTCCTTGGAGATTGAGAGTTGAACTGAGTTGCTGTCAAGGTTGTCAATGGCAAGGTTATTCTAAATGTTAGTATTCAGGCAGTCACGGGGTATCGATTTGGATCCCCTCTCTGGGCTTTTATTGAGCTCACCGATTCGACACATTCCCCTAGCACGTTTAGTAGTGTGCCTTCTTGGCTTTCCAGCATAATTCAGTTGCTTGTTTTTCATCCTGTTCAGCATCCATTACGCCCGACTTTCTACTCATTGGATGCATGTGAGCAGTCAAGACTACTAAGCATGGGGCGAGTACGTAGTCTGAGTGAAGCAAGCTCTGACGAGCAACTCTGGATGCCTTGAGAGTAAGAGCAACAATGCCTTGGATTTCCAAGCAGGAATGTATCTCAGCTAGTTCCGTGGCATGATTGCTACCCCTAGACATGCCACAGTTCATGGCTTGACTGATTTTCTCTCATTTGGCAAATGTTTATTCACAGCGTTCTAGAGTGTGTCTTGTGGATGGCCTCTGACAGACTAAAATGACTGGCAAAAAATCTACATAGTAGGCCGCTGGTGGAAGTTACCGGGAGTTATGGCCAGTTATATAATAATTTCCAATAATTATTAACTAAGATAAATCATAAGTATTCTATTATACTGTATATAATAATTATACTAATATTTATATATTACTTTAAAACTATATTTAAGAAAATAATAAGAGATCAACTATTTAAAGCTTATTTTATAATTATTTATTATTATTAAAAGCCTATTACTTTTCTATCTTTAATTTATTTATAAAAAATTATATTATTATTTCTTTTTTATACTGACTGAGTTTTCCATAGATTATTTATTATTATTTTATTATTAATTTATTATTATTTTATTTTTTTTATATATATCATATCTTTCTTTCTTTTTATTTTTTTATTTTTTTTTATATTACTTTCTTACTTTTTCTTTTTTTTTCTTTTTTATTTATTTTATTTTTTTTTATTTTTCTTATTTCTGTTTTCTTTTTTTATATTAAAATAAAATAGCTAAAGTGGTAATAGATTAAATTAGAAATAAATTAAAAAATTTTTATAAATAATATAAGAAGATAGTATTAATATAAAAAAAATAAATAATAAAAATAATATAAAATCTTTTTTAGCAAGTAATAATACAGTAAAAATAATTATAATAAAAATAATTATAATATAGAAACTGACTAAAAAAAATAAGAAAAAATTATAAAAATTATTAAAATTTAATTTTAAAGATAATTAAAAAAATTAATTATTATTTAATTTAATTAAATTTTACTGGCTCAAACTTTGGGATTATATAATAAAGAATTTAATTAATAATTAAAAATAAAAAACTAGATTTACCCGGATCTAAAAGCTTATAATTAAAAAAAAGATATAAAATATTATTAAATATAATTATTAATATATTAATAAGACAGGATAAAATCTTAATAAATATTTTATTTATTTTTTATATAATATAAGATTAGAAAACATGCAGAGATTAAAAAAAGTATTTTATTAAAAAAATTTTTTTAAAAATATTATAGATACAGTAATATAAAGTTTAAAAAATATTCTAATATAAATATATAATTTATTATAGATTAATAAGCTAAATAGTAGTAAAGTTATTTTTAGAATAATTTTATTAAATAAAAATTTAAAAATATTTTATAAAAAGCTTTCACAGTTAACTCTAATAATTAAAATAATAAAATTATAATTTATTAAAATATATAAAACTAGAATATAATAAGCAGTTAAAATAAAGATTAATTTTATAATTAAAAATAAATTAAATATAAAAGAAATTTTAAAACTAATATTAGATAGAGAATTTTTATTATTATTATTATTATTATTTATTACTGATAATAAGTCTCTAAATCTATTAAAAATATAATAATTATAAATTTTAGTCTGGAAGTACAAGCTATTAAGTAATTAATAAAAATTAATTCTTAAATATTAGTTAGAGATATTTAATCTTAAAGATTTATTTTAAATTTATATCTGTATAAAAGCTGTTTTATAATTATTAAAATTTTAAATTATAGCTCAGGCAGAAAAAATAATTATAATTATTAAAAATACTGAAAATAATAAAAATATTAAAATTATTAAAAATATTAAAATTAGTAAAGATAGTGAGACTATATTAAAAAAATTTAAATATATAAAAAAAAATAGATATTTTAAAAATATTTAATAATTATATATTTAAATTAAATATATACCAAGCTGCAGAGAATCTGTAATAATCTTTTAATAATAATATAAATTTAAATAATCTATTTATATAATTAATATTAAAGAATTATAAAAAAATCTTAGTATATGAAAAATAATTAAATATTTAAAAATATTAATTTAATAACTATAAGAAGACCTATAGAAATCTATATATTAAAAATCTAGTGAACTCCTGTATAAAGAAAATATTATATAATTAGAAATTAAAATTTTAATAATTTATATATATTAATTATATTATTAAAATTATATAATTTAATTTATTACATGGAGTAATTATTACAGATATTATTAATATTAAAAAAATTTAGAAAATTATTATATTCTTTTTATATATAAGTATTTTTTTAAAAATATATAGAAGGCTTTTACAGCTGATATAATATAATAATTAAATAAATTTAAATATAAATTTACTATAACTAAAAGAAACAGATCAGATTTTCTAAAAAATTATTTTATAATTATTATTATTTTATCTTATTTTATTAAGCAGTGAATAAATAAGATTATATTAATAATTAAGAAATTCTAAATATTATTTTATTATAATAATATATGCCGCCAGGCTGGAAGTTATATTAAAAATAAATTAATAAAAAAATATAAGATTTTTAAAAATAGACTGGTAAATATATATATTATTATAATAATTTTTTATTAAATATAGAAGGCCTGCCATAATCTTTAAATAATAAAAATTTAATATATTAATAAAAAAAAATTATATAATTTAATTAATTTTTATATACCCACAGATTTCCCAGGTAATCTGGAAGAATATTTTAAAATTATTATATTTAATAAAAT